TCAGCAGCTTGCCTTTTGTGAACAACTGAAATGGTTTCCTACATTTGAGTTAAAAATCTGAGTCACTGTTTTTAGTATGTAAATTTAAGCTGCCTCTTCAATCTCTCGGTTGCAAATTATGGCTTTTTAGGACAACAGAATCAGCTCTGCAGCATAACTATTCGCAATACATAAGGCATTCATGCCAAAATTGAAGGCACAGTGTGAAATAAATATTTCCATTTATGCAATAAGTAAGATATATAGCTGGAGAATGTTGTCCAATGCAAGAAACAAACAAAACATTTTAACCACAAGCATAAACATTTTCCTTGCATGCTACTCCTCTCCCTCACTCCACAATCAAGCTTCACAACATCCCTACAAGTTAAAAATTCTTGCAATGCCCATTTGATCAGATATTGAGAGGCAAAAGTGACACACTCAAGGCCTGCACCAGGAAGAAGGGAAAAAAACAAAAAACAAAAAAACACACCACAGGAATCCTGGCTCCATCACCCTGATCTATTCAATGGACTTTAGAAGCTTAACATAGCAAACAGCAAACCAAGTAAAAGGAAATCTCCCTCAAACTTTGGAGACAGAACACGGGGTGTGATAATCTGTCTACATAAGTTAAAACATAACTGGGACTGATATAGAATCGCAAGAGCTTTATTTGCCTACTTACTGCTTTAATATAGGAATTCTATGGTGCTAATAATCTAACCAGGAAACAGATTTTTAAATGACTGCATAAAATTCATTTTCAGTTCTCTTATCACAAAGAAGTTGAGAAGGTGTGTTCCCACACACCAATTAAAAAGTTAAAGTGAAGCCTCCCCCAAAGTCCATCTATTGTTGGAAGTATTAGTATAAATATTAGTTAGTACATTAACTTTCTCCAAGAAACCCTGCTCCCATATAAAGTAATGCTTAAGTGATTAATGCTGGCACTATTCATTTTCATGGAATCATAGGGCTGGAGGAGACCTCAGGTCATAGAGTCCAGCCTCTTGCCCAAAGCAGGACCAATCCCAACTAAATCAACCCAGTCAGGGCTTTATCAAGCCAAGACTTAAAAATCTCTAGGGATGGAGATTCCACCACCTCCCTAGGAAACCCATTCCAGTGAAATAGTTTTTCCTAATATCCAACCCTACACCTCCCCCACTGCAACTTGAGACCATTACTCCTCGTTCTGCCATCCATCATTACAGAGAACAGCCTTTATCCATCCTCTCTGGAAACTCACATCCTGCCTCACTCTTCTCTTCTGCAGACTAAGCCAGCCCCAATTCCTCCGCCTCTCCTCTTAGGTCATGTGCTCCAGCCCCCTAATCATTTTGATTGCCCTCCAGTGGGCAATGCGTCCACATCAGTTCTGGGACCCCCACTACAGAAAGTGACACAATACTCCAGATGTGGCCTCACCAGAACAGAATAAAGGGGAATAATCACTTCTCCAGATCTGCAGGAAATGCTGCTCCTAATGCCATCTAATATTCCATTTGCTTTCTTAGCTACAAGGGCACACTGTTGAGACAAATCCAGCTTCTCATCCACTGTAATCCCCAGGTCCTTTCCTGCCAACTGCTACTCAACCATTCAATCCCCAGCCTGTAACAACACCTAGGATTCTTCCATTCCAAGAGCAGGACTCTACACTTGTCCCTGTTGAACTTCATCAGATTTCTTTTGGACCATTCCTCTAATCTAGGTCACTGTGGATCCTATCCCTGCCCTCCAGCGTATCTACCCCTTCCCCTAGCTTAGTGTCATCTGCAAATTTTCTGAGGGTGCAATCCATCCCCTCATCCAGGTCCTTAATAAAGATGTTGAATAAATCCTGCCCTAGAACCGATCCTTGAGGCACTCCCCTAGAAACCAACCGCCAACCTGACATCGAGCCGTTAATCACTACCCATTGGGCCTGATAGTCTAGCCAGCTTTCTATCCATCTTACAGTTTAATTTATCCAAGCCATACTTCCTTAACTTGCTGGCAAGAATATTGTGGGAGACCGTATCAAAAGCTTTGCTAAAGTCAAGGTATATCACATCCACTGACTTTCCCATGTCCACAGAGCCAGTTAGTTCATCATAGAAGCATTTTACATGGTAGCAATAAACTCCCTTGAGAAGCTGAAGGGTATGAAAATTACTTATGCATGGTGCTTGTTTAGACATTCAAATGCCCAGAGCATAGGATGGGGACATTATCATAAAGACCGTATCACACTCTCTTCCCTATTACAAATGGTGATTGGCTCAACAGTCAACACTGCATGAAGATATTCCCAAGGGTAGAAGAGAGAATAGTTCCTAAAACAGAAGAGCAAAGTGGCCAAGCCACATGCAGCTCTTTGATTAAAATGCCGGGACGGCCCCCCGCCAGCCGCTCTGCGCATGGCATCCCAGCACCTAGAGGGAGAAGCATGTGGCGGCAGCAGCTCTGGAACCCAGGCATTAGGTTAGAGCATTAGGTAGAGTCGTGTGTGTGAGAGAGAGGTCTGGCTCTGGGTTAGAGCTGGGGGGGGAGGGGCGGGAAGAGAGAGGCGCTGGGAGTGCCTGGCTCAAGGTAGGAGGGGCATTGTGTTAGAGCAGGGGAGTGTCTGGCTCTGGGGGAGAAAAAGGGCATTGGGTTAGAGTGGGTGGGGCTGAGAATGCTTGGTTCTGGGGGAAGGAAGGGGAGGGCGGAAGCACATTAAACTCAAAAGTCTTCATGGATGCAGAATAAAGCAGCCAACACAAATTTCATATTTAAGTTTTAGAGCAAAAAAAGAATCAGAATGTACCTGGTTTACACTGTTTCTTTAAAAAAAAATTCAAAGACTATTGTTTGGCAGGCTGATGCAATTATTTGAGATGTGAGTCTTTCCCTTATTGTTTTTTAACCTTTCATATTTGTAGTCTGGGACAGGCACTTCAAATTATGCTAATTTACTTCTCAGTTCTATTTAATTTTTTAAAAAAAGCTCATGGGATAGAATAGTGCAGTAGTGTTAAATTTAAAATACATGGTGGAGATGCTTTCTGTTTAGTGTGAAAATATTACTGCATTTTAAAGGTTTTTTTTTTTTAATTTGATATTTGTTCCTTGTCAAGCTTTCTGAAGATCTATGAGTGGTCATGAATTTTTGAAGTGACTAGAGACTTCATTGATTTTTATCAAAAATGTCCTGTAACATTTTTAATCACTACATTTTATGTACTATATCTTTTTATAGATAAATAAAAATACATGGCTCTTCTCACTCTATCCACCACTATTTTGGTTCTTCGTCTCTAACTGCTCGGCCTCCCCTCTGGTAGAGTATCAAAAGCTAGAGGCAAATGTCAGTTTTTCCACAACTAAAGGGTACTATTTTATGAGGGAGTTCCTTGCTTTTCCTATCCATTTACTTTCAGATGATCAAGGGAACCTCAGGAACTGCCATTGTTAAATAGTGACAGCCTTATTTGCACATATACTGCACTCCAATAAAATGTTATGAACTCACAGGAATGGTTTCCTGAGGCAAGGTAGCCAAGCAGACTTTCGGTAAAATCTTGTCCTTCAGCTGTGGTATACTACAATCATATGAAGTATTTTTATCCTTATGCAATATTTACTTACTGCCATCCTCTGAGTAATTTATTATATAGCAAGGATACTCTGTGCTTATCTTGGTTTCTTACACTATTTGGTATACTCTTTTAGAAACCTATGCAGTAGTTCCCCTCTCTTTCCTTCCTTCCTTCCCAGCACTCCCTCCCCCCTTACCCCGCATCTACATTCAACGTTTATCTCTATTTAACCTTTTGGTACTGGCTAAATCCAACCATACTGGGCAGAATCTTTATTAAAACCATCCCAATCAAGTTGTTATTGTTTTTCAGTGCCAACAGGGGAAACTATTCTCTGGGAGATATTGTAATAAAGATGTCATATCAGTTATATGTAGTATACTGCACCTTCGTAACAGGAAGTAACTCATGTTAGCTATTAAAGGCAATTTTGGAACAAACTACATTAGAAGGTTATTAGAGTTGGCTAACACTTTTAGCAATAGATTTCCATATATCCAGATGATGCTCAAAAATAATCTGTTTTATTTTTAAACTAACTTTTTGCCCCACTATTTCTGCTCTTGAATCCCTCTAAGTTTCAACAGATATTAGCCTTCCACCAGAATTTCACTAGGATGTAACTTTTTATTATAGTAGACAATGCTGATGTCAATCATTAAGTATTATGTAGCATAAAAGGCAAAGCTGCATTTTAATTATTAAGCGGCAATAAAAAGGGAAATGAAGTGCAGCACGCTTCAATCACAAATGCACTAAAACAGAACACTAACTTAAAAGCTAGTAACATACACACACACACACACACACACACACACACACACACACACACACACACACACACACTAACTCTGTTTTGTAAAATGGAATAATTAAAAACAATGTTCTGTCTAGCATACACAAAAGGTAAATTATGAAGGGTCTTAAAACAATTCATTTGAATTTTTCTATTTCTTTCTGTAACAGTAGAGGGCACTCAAAAGCTCATTATGTTCTCACAGGGATATGGGACAATTAAGAAATTGCTGGACAAAGAATGAAACAGATTAGAAAACAAAATATGAAAACAGGCAGTTCCACTCTCAAATTCTATAAAGCACCATATTCAGGTTTATCCTGAGTTATCTGAAATAAAGGATTATTATTTCACAAATTGAGTGCACTAAGAAATTACTCTTCAGACTGCTACCAATTACTGCCTTTTCAAAAGGCTGGGCTCTTAAACTGACTATTGAACTGACATTCTTTGTTTTCTGGGAATCTAAATGACAATGAATTTTAAAACACATCATTGAACCCTGTGTCTCTTTCACTCCCTCAAACAAAAAAAGGACCATTTCAGTCTAAGATTTCAATAATTTATCCTAAATTAAGACAAAGTTTAAACTGTGCCATCCTATGGGTTGGCTTCAGATCAAGTAAATAGTCTCTAATGAAGCTGGTTTTATGCAGGATTAGTAACAGACTAATGAGTCAAGACAGCTATTTCTAGGGCTTAAAATGAGGAGTTCTATAGTTCACTTTAACATCTTGTTTACTTACCCTAGTCGGTCAACCAAATCCCAGAGCACATTCGGCGATGGAACAAGAGGAGATCCATCATATAAGACAACTGAAGCTCCTGTAGAAAGTGCAGACACTAGCCAATTCCACATCATCCAGCCAGTCTAGAATAGACAAGACTCTTAACGTTATTGGTCCAGCACCGTAGGTCCCAGATGAGGGATTTTTCTGGACCAGGAGAGATCATTTCAGGCCCCGATGCCAGTTCCCTCAACTTCCTTGCTCCCCCTGCAGCCCAACTGAGCCACATACCAGTTCCCACAGCCTAGCTGCACATCAACATCTGAGCTGCACACCAGCTCCTGCTTCTGCAGCCCAGGCCCATCCTCCCCTCACAGCCCAGATGAGCCACACTCTGGCTCCTCCCCACAGCCCAGCTGGACCGTGCACCAGCTGTGCCGTGCACCAGTTCCCAGGACCCCAACACCATGAAGCATGCGAACTCCCTGCAGTGTGCCAGGACTCTGCTCAGACCAGAGAATCCCAGATTATAGAGGTGCAACCTGTAGTTTCTATATTTGTGAGCTCATTATGAGGGAGACATCCCTCCCAATTGCTGACTTGTGTATTCAGTATCTCAATGTTACTTGAGATTACCACTACATGAATTTGTTTACTGAGAGAGTCAATTCAACAGAATCCACGGAACAGTTCCAACTGTTATCATCACTAAGTTCTGGGTAATGTCAATGATGCTACTAAGGATTTACAATGGTTGTAGCTAAACTAGAACCTGGCTTCTGCTTTAGTAACCTTATTTTGGGTCTTCACAATAATTAGGGGAGAAAAGACACACAACTAATGTGGGGCCTGAAACGTGGGTGTCATTTTAAATTACCCCAATAATATATTCATAGGTTTAAGGCCAGAAGAGACCATTAGATCATGCAGCCCTGATGCCTGTATAATACACCATACAGAGTTTTATCCAGTTATTCCTGTACTTATGCCAGTAACTTGCATGCAATCAAAGCACATCAACCAGAGCAGCATCCAGTCTTGCTCCAAAGACATTAAGAGATGATGTCACATTGAACATCAGAATCCCATGAACTTCTACCCTATAATAACTAATTTGGAATATAACTTATCTGCTAATTACAGACCAAAAATGCTACACAAAATAAAACTGTATTGTAATTTTCACAAATACCCAAATACTTCACAGAATAGAAGTGACATCAGGTGTTTGACAATAAAAAAAACAAATCGGACATGGTTTATAGTAGTTAGTGTGTATTTTGACACTCCATAACTGCTTTACACTGAACCCCTTCATATGCCAATGCAATATGTTCTGACTTTTTAAAAACTTTGAATGCTAGAAATGTCAGCATTTCTGATTAACAGTATGTACACAACTCCTTGCAGAACACCTGCACAGCGCCTATGCTAAACACACACCTGAGAAAAGGATTCTTCCCTCTCCAACCAGGCATGCCACTTTGTTGGCATCCAGGGCCTTCTGCTGTCTAGGAAAGAATCTCCATGGCCCAAGCACTGAGTAGGACATGTGTAAATGACCCTATCTGCCGAACTCCACTGCAAACCCCAGCACACAAGTCCTGCTAGGAGCACTGGAGATAAGTTTTTTTTTAAATGTAGCCAGGAAAAGGCAGGGGTTGCTTTAATTTATTTCAAGGGCCACAGCAGTTCTTATGCTGGCCCTTCAGTAGGACTCTTACCAAATAAGCAGAGTAATTTTTCCACATCTCTCATTTTCCCTGCCTCAAACTGCTACAGCTTAAGAGTTTACAATGAAGATCTTAGTTTATATACAACTTTGATGATCTCCTCTACTTGTATCAATCATCATCTTGTTTGTCATTAAGGTGCAAGCCTAACAAATGATGGGGAAAATAACCAGACTCCTCACTGGAGGCACCATAGGTTAGCTGTTACTGCCACAAGTTAATACAGGAGCTCTCAAAACACAGACAGGCTAGCCAACCAAAAATTCCTTTGATACCTGCACAGTACTGCAGATATTCTCTCTGTTATGGTCCCAAAATGGTGGGAAAAACACCAGCAGAGAGCAATTTAAACCTTCAACAGCATATGCATGACTGTTGAAAACACAAAGTATCATGGTTTAGTACAACATTAAGTGCAAGTAGTCCAGTATGCCGTACCAGCAAGCTATTTATAACCAGTATGGCATACTGGCAGCCATCCTGCTGGGGGCAGCAGCAGGGAAAGGAGCAGAAATCTGCATCATTCACAGTCCTGTCCTCTGGCAAGGCTGCTATTACCATAGACAAAGGGAGGACAGAGACCTCAGCTATGTGGAATGACAGGGGCTGAGGCTTCTGCTCCTATCCCTGCTGCAGTTCCCAGGAAAGCCCAGACTGAAGTCTCAGCATGGCAGAAGTAGTCAAAGGGCCTTCCCTCTCCTACCCTGGTAATATGAGATGGATGTGGGGAGGGCTCCGGCTGGAGGGGAGGGTGGGGGGGGCAGTGAGGAGTCACATGGGTCATGTGAGAGTAATGTGAGGAGATCATGTGCCTTCCTCTCCTCTTTACCCCCCTGTACTAATATAAAATGGATTTTACATTTATTCCCATTTTAGGCTTCCCCCCTCCCCCTTTAAAAGGAGTTACTAAACTGCACTACGTTGTTTACACTAGTACCAAGGACTGTTACACTCCAAAACAGCCACTCCATTTTCTTCTCATACTAATAATATAAAAGGAATCACTAATATAGAACATAGGCATTTCAACAATGGGTAAGAAAAGTGGGCCAGATGGCCACTCTCACATCTCTGACAGTGACCCCAAAGGGAGATGCAAACAGGAAAAGTGTCCCAGTGCACTTATGAAGTTCCCAAATGAAGCTGAGAGTCAGAGATTGGCTCATGCCTCAAACCATGAAGGTTCATAGCCTTCTAGAGATTCCCTCTCCCACCCTCCAGAAATGCACAGATTCTTGCCACTCCACCAAGATGAACAGGTAAAATTAACTGTCACTTCCATGTGCTGGATCCCCACATGATCAGGAGTGGAGAGCATTTTTTGAAGATCAAACTGAGGATGTCATTATTGTAATAAACTTTTTGTAGAGTCCAAAAAAATCCTACAATCCATTTTGGTTGCTAATTAGCAGGAACATTTAATACATGTCCAATTGCATTTTATTAATACACCTGATTCTCAAATTGGGTTTTAAAAAAAGACTAACAAGATGGTGATGAAAGCTCATCACCTGTTAAACCATCTCGTTAGTCTTTAAAGTGCTACATAGTTCTTCCTTTTGTTTTAGGAAGATCAGACTAACACTGCTACCTCTCTATTACTATTCAAGTTGAGAACTGCTATTCTTACAAAGAGCACCACTAGAAATAGGTAGGATTGTATCGATAGTACTGTGGAAAGTACCTCCCTCTTTATAAACAGTGTTATACACATGTCTTAAGCCCCACTTGCCGTTGTATAGTACATAATAATGTCGTTGCTGGTCATGTTGCCATGAAGAATATGCTCCTTCAGATGCTGAATTAGTGTGCCCTGAAAAATACAAGTGAAGAGAAAAATATATGAAATTATATTTATGTAAATATAAAGCAAAGAACTGGTGGTAAAATATATTTTTCAGTATTCTAATGCTGTACAGCCCTCACCAGGAAATATTTTAGGGTTACAATCAGTTACTGAATTGTATCCCTTTCAAAGCAAAAAACCAAACAGGCAACAACTCCCACACTTGTCCATATCATCACAGATAGCATTCTTCACCTCCCCCCTTCATTAACTTTCCAACCTCCATCAGAATTTCAGCAGTGTCTACACTCAAACTACAACAGAGGGAGCAGGTAGTTTCCAACAGGACTGCAGCATCCCTCTACAGCCAGCAACCAGAATAGCGCAGCCCATAAGGATGTGTTTACACAGGGAAATGAACCAAAAGAACTGAAGGTTGACACTTTCTAGTCCAGAACTCTCAGGTCCAGAAACCTCAGTCATCCAGAATTATTTCAGTTAGCCAGATGTCCACTTATCATGGGTGTGGCCAAGTTCCCCAGGGTCCCAAAAAGTTTGTGTATAGCCACCGGTCCTAAGTGTTCTGTCCTGTTATTTAGCTCTAATTTACTCCTAAATGACCTCTAACAGCCCAATAAGCAGTGGAAATGTTGGCAATGCTGCTAGACAATATTGTCCTTCCATGGTCCAGAAAATTCTCTCCTCAGGAATCAGTCAGGTGTCGAAGGTGCTGGACTGGAGAGGTTCAACCTGTACTGCAATACATTTCTACATCTATATCTGTTTATATACCACTGTAGTGCTGCAGGTCCATTTCCCCAAGTGAACAAGTCCTTTGACAAGGTTTCATGCTCATAGTACTCCCAGATGACTGGAAAGAGACAGACACAAAGATGTTCTTGACTTAAGTGTCAAAGCACAAAGCATTCTCATCTCATACGAGGCCATAACAGCTCAAAATGTCCCAAAATTTAACTCTTTGGAGATTACAGACAGAACTGCATAGACTAACTAAGCATTTGTACAGCTGGCATGGTGGAAAATTCCCCTGCTCTAACTAGTGCTGGCAAATGACAATACACTGAACTATGCTATTACTCACTTATTTCATTTGCTGGAAATGTAGGTAGAGTACTTTTTGGATCATCATTCAAGAGTGACTTTCCAGGATCAATGAATTTATAAACTGCTTTCTTGTGTCACTTTACTACAGTGACACATTAACGTGGTTGATTTAAATACAGAAGCTATGCTTTGCATTTTTGCAAGTGCTCGTGGTTGTGCTATTAAGAACTTCATATAAATCAAGCAAAATATGTATGTTGAAAGAAAATCCATTATAGATAAAAATGTAAAACAAAGAAACAAACGTACAATGGCACATGCTTTTGCAGATGGAAAGGAAAATATTCAAAATCCAATTTTCCCTTAGCATCTCAGACATCCATGTCTGGATTTTACCTGCTAATGTTCCTGTGCACAGACATGTCATGATGCTGCCATCTAGCTATGGACTATTTACTTACATTCTGAAAGTTGAATTCAGAGCTTTACCATATCACAACCAGTAATTTAGATGCAATCTTGCACAAACATTTATGTTTAAGTTTATTGGGACAGCGCACAGTGCAGGCTTAGGTATTCACAAGAAACAGGATTTTTAATGGGAGCCTTACCGTTGCAGTACTGTAGAAGTATTGAGACTATACACCCATTGGATAAAATTCAGTTGAATGTTTTGTTGCCCTTATTATTGCCAATTTATAGTTTAAAATTTTCATTGTGATTCCCAGGCTCTGAAATAATAAAAATGAATCCACCCACAAACTATAACCACTATTATAGAAAAAATGGAACATAAACCAAGGCAGATTGGTAGAAGACTGCGGAACTCTTAAAAAAAATATCTGTCTCGGCTTCTAGCTGAAGAGCCCAATTCTCCTTGTGTGTGAAACCAGTGCAAGGGAAATTAGCATTTTGGACTATGTTTCTAGGATTTAGAAATTATTTTAAAAAACTAAATATCTAATAAATTATCCAGTAAAACGAAAATCCTAAAACATTTCTCTTAAAGCTGTTAACACACTAGATCTTTGCTTCCAAAACAAAAACTTTATATTTACATACATACTTACCTCTGCCAGCAATATAAATGAATTTTAAATCATTTCAAATGTCTGGCTTCCATTATATTAATTATGGCTATAATTTAAATATACCCCACAACAGCTACACAGGAAAAAAAACATGAGCTCAGCACATTGCTTAGCACATGAGCTTAGCACATACAATAGAGCAGGGGGTCCCAACCTGGCGTCTGGGGTACGCGTGCCCCCAGGGGGTACGAGAAGCTTGTAAAGGGGGTACAGGGAATATTTGGTAAATAACTAGATTATCCTAATTGAAATATTCCAAAAGTAGTAGCGTTAGTGAAAAAAGTTGTGGATTCTAGAATCTAGAATTTCTTTCCTTTCATATTGAATAGGGGGTACGGGAAGATTTACTAAAAGCCAAGAGGATATGGGGACCAAAAAAGGTTGGGAACCCCTGCAATAGAGTAAATTTAGTTAAAGAAAATCATTTCCTATAAAGATTGGGTATATAGTCAAGTTGTATTAAGTCCATGGCAATCAGCATTATTTCATACACTTTTGCTGTCATTTCATCTCATGTATTTTTGACTACTGTACACTTCAGCTATATCAGCACTACTGTGGGGTTCCAGCCAAGCCGGGAGGATGAGGGAGATGAAGGAGGAGGAGGAATTGGGGCAAGCTAAGCAACTCTGTAAATTAGTGGTCTCCAATCTTTTTATGCCCAAGATCACTTTTTAAATGTCAGAACAAGCCAAGATCTACCGCCCCATCCTTCCCTCAAGACACCACCCCTTCCTTGAAGCCCTGCCCTCTCTGTTCTCCTCCTCTCCATCACTTGCCATCCCCAGCCCTTATACACTCTCAGGGTATGGCTACACTACTGCTTCCCCCCTTCTTTCCCCAAGTCTTCTGTAGGAAGAGGTTTTTCCAACATTTGGCCTGTCTAGACTGGGCCAAATGTCAGAAAAACCCCTTCTTTCAGAAGCCCCCTTATTTCTCGTGGAACGAGGAATACAGGGGTTGTTAAAAAGAGCATGTTTGCTCTTCTGCTAAGCAAGGTGGTAGAACGAACGCATCCCTGGACACAGAAGAGTTTTTCTGGGATACTCCTGATGTCCCAGAAAAACTCTTGTAGTCTACTCGTTAGACTGGGCCAAATGTCAGAAAAACCCCTTCTTTCAGAAGCCCCCTTATTTCTCGTGGAACGAGGAATACAGGGGTTGTTAAAAAGAGCATGTTTGCTCTTCTGCTAAGCAAGGTGGTAGAACGAACGCATCCCTGGACACAGAAGAGTTTTTCTGGGATACTCCTGATGTCCCAGAAAAACTCTTGTAGTCTACTCGTACCCTCACTGGGTTGAGACAGGATGTATGGGCTCTGGGGTGGGAATGAGGGTGAGAGGTGCAAGCTCTGGGCGGGAATTTGGATGCAGGAGGATGTGGAGAAGGGGACGCTGGTTGGGAGAAGGGGCTCCAGAGGCAGGTGGGGGGGGGGGGTGCTAAAAAAGCCACAGGCTTGCGGATGTGAGGGTGTAGGAGTTTGGGTTGGGATGTGAGGGGGACTCAGGGCAGGGAGCTTGTGAGTATGATGGTCTCAGGACACAGATTTGTGATAGTGCAGGAGTGTTATGGCAGAAGACTGAGGATGTGGAGCTACAGGAGTTTGGGGGATAAGAGGGGCTCAGGACAGGGGGTTCCAGTGTATGAAGGACCCTAGATCTGAGTCGGGGGGAAGGGGTGCAGGAGTGTTATGATGCTGCGGCCAGATAGGGGCTTGGCCTCAACTGGGGGTTTGTTGGCCAGGCTTCATTTTTAAATAAAATACTATGTCAAATACAAAAAGCCTCTATATTGTCTTTATTTATGAGAAGGGCAGGGAACCTTTTTTGGATCAGCAGCCACTGACCCACAGAAAAGTGAGTGGGGGGCCACACAAGTGAGATGCAAAAAAAAACTCTTCCAAACCCCCCCGAAGCCTCACTAATGTGGCCAACTGTGCTGGTGGGAGCAGGGAACATGGTACTGGGGAAGGGTGCTAGTGAGTGCTGGGGCAGAGGGTTGGGGACAGGGTGCTGGGGTGGGGGCAGAGTGCCAATGGGGGACAGGGCAGAGGGTATAGGGTTCTGCAGCAGGGGACAGCCAATCCCTCGCACCCGCCTCCTCACG